TCTTTTTCCAAATATATGTGCTATTTTGTAAGTAACTGTAACAATATTTTTCTTTACAAAAGCATTAAAAGATACCTATGGATAGTGCTATTCATTTTTCAATTTTTGAACACCAGACAAGACTTTTACAAGCCCGAACAGATAACTACAAATAACTTTGCAACATACAGGGGAATGCCTAGGGGTGTGGAGCAGACACAGAAAAGTCAGTACTACCTATCTCTCAAACAGCCACCATCATGGTTTCTGGTGGGTGGCAAACTGAAAAGTGTGCCAAAATGGCAATAATTTCAGACTATGAAAGACTGCTAGAAACTGCAACATTCTTATTTATATTAAGCTCAAGAAATGGCAGTATGTTATTTTATTCTATTAATTATCAAATTGTCATAATCTATATAAGAGCAAGAGGCCACACAAGAAACTCACGGAGGCTGCACGTTACCCACCTCTGGTACAGTGGTTATAGTTAATAAGATGCTAATAACATCTCTCTCATTCAGTATCACAGAAACATTAAATATTTATTTTGGGGAAATTAATGCTGTTAATAAGGTATCAATATTTAAGTAAATAGCTGTCCAGATGGTATTGTGGTTAGGAGGCCTGCTCCAGTACCGAAAAAAATCCCAGAAAATCCATGGTTGTAGCAGTCCATCTTTTCATAGAAGGCAATTATAGCTGCCTATTAGGCACCTCCACAATAAAAGGCCACCACTTCTAGCCTTAGGAGTGGACAATGATGAATACACAAATGCCCACATTAGAAAAAATAATAATTTTTTTTAAATGTGAAAGGTTTCAAATTTTAACGTTTGCCAAAAAGGGTTTCTTAAGATTTTTTACACTCTCGCTGTATTCGCAGTTTAGCATTCGGCTGTTACATTCACTTCTACTACACCTCTTTTTTTTTTTTTTTTTTCCCCCGGGGGGGGAGGATATCTCTTCAGCTTTGTCAATAAGCATTATTTTCTTTGCACTTATGTGCCCATATACCATTTAAATTACAAAAATTAGTTTTAAAAAAATAAGCACCACAGTAGTATATGTTTAGAATTCCCAAAGCAGTGTTAAGTGCTTGCATATATTTTTCTGCTTTTTTCCCCTGTCTTTTCTCAGTTCATCATATCAATGTTCGGTTTTCTTCACAATTTTTTTGGGGGGTCTTTTTATTATTAATGTTTCGTTTGCTTATTTTATTTCTTAAATATCCTGTTCTTGGCACTTATGCCACATAAAATTCGATACAACAGCAAAGTCACAAAATATTTAAAAACTGCATGTCTTAGGAATTTCTATATGACAGTATAACACAATAGAGAGAAATTGTTTTATTCTACACAGTGATACCATTGCTCGCTCATTTTGTTAATCAAAAATTCATTACAGTTTTACAAAATATTAAATAAAACTTCAAAATTCGGGCTTCCAAGTGCATGTGTTTGGGTTGAGAACAATGTCATTCAAAATTTAATGGCTCTAGGTATCGTCGTCGTTTTTTCACAATACAAGGAACTTACATGCTGAATCTTCATTATTTAATTTCTTTAAAGATAATACAGGGTGATAGTATTTAGTGACATTTACAGCATTCGCCATTTACAGCAAATGATGCAAAATCCTGTTTCCAGACTAATAGTTATACAAAATCTGAAATAGATAATAAAACAAAATCCAAATTCAGGCTTCCAGGTGCTCATGTTCAGGTGGAGGACTAAGTTATTCAGAATTTGAGGGCTCTGGATATTATTGTTTTTTTCACAATGAGAGAAACTTGCATGCAGTCTTGCAAATTCTTTACTTAATTTCTTTAAATATAATACAGGGTGATAATATTAGGTGGCAACAATATGAAAAGTGATACAATGCACGTAAGTATCTCAATGCAAAATGCCGTTTCGAGACTCAATGCCTCTTTTGGGCTAATAACAATTCTAGAATGGAAATTTTTTTATTACATTCATTTGGCTTTTCACTGTGAATTGCAATTTTTATAATTTCCTGAGCTTTTACTTTATCTCAGAACCTTCCTAGGAATATGATTTTAAAAATTTTTTCTTTAGTTTCTACCAGACTACCTGTCCTTTAAAAGGTCACTTCCAAGAATTTAAATGGCAACTTTACCTAGATCTTAAAATCTGCCTATTTTTATTTAAACATGCTTTGTGTAGCTAAAAATATGTTATACCAAATAAAGCAATAAAATTAAAATGCAATTTTTTACCAGAACTGACCATTTCGACATGCATGGATACTTTAAATAGGAAATGCAAAACACTCAACTTTTAAGTATGCAAATGAGCACTACACATTTAGCTCTTGCTGTTAAACATCCTTAAATAAAAACTTTCATTATCTATAGCTATGCAAAAAAGAATTTTGAATAATGAGAGTAGTTAAATAATTCACTATCTAATTAAATTAATCCTGAGATTTTTACATTACAGCTACATGAATGCACATCATTCCTCAGTATAACTAAATCATACTAATATACTCTTTAAAAAAAAAAATAGAAGCACCAAGAAGGACTTTTGTGATCGTGACGAAATATGGTATGCAAAAACATCTCGATCGAACATGCAAATGATCAAAATTTCTAAGCAGATGAACAGGAATTGCAATCATAGTGTGCAATTCGCAAAGTACCAGTAAAAGAGGCAAAAAATGTATCGTTTTTTGTTGCTGCCATTTAATTCTGTAAAGATGCCATTACGATGATATTGAAGACATTACAGACAACTATACGACTTCGAATGTGGTTGCATTGTAGGGTTGCGCGAGGCTGGGTGGTCATACTGAGCAACAGGTCACCACCTGAAGACACTGGTGTGCAAAGATATTGGTACCAATGGTTGCTACAAAGAAAATTGCCAATGAAATGAAGGCTCTGGAAGGCCAAGGAGCACAAATGCAAGAACAGCCCAAATGGTATCATGTCGACTATTCAATGCGCTACAGCCACATCTATACCTCCCGTGGTACCGTCCATCATATCATGGCGCTTGTCTGAGGCGAGGTTATGCTCACAGAGGCCTTTAAGAAGTTTGCCTTTGACCCCACAACATCGGTGGAGTGGTGTCAGCCGATCATCATCATGGCTGCCATCAGACTAGCATTTTATAGTGTTCAGTGATGAATCCCACTTTACTCTTCAAGCAGATGACCACCGTGTTCGTGTCTGGAGAAGACGGAGCCAGCAGTTCCAATAAGCCTTTGTTTTACAAAAAACATCTCAATCGAACATGCAAATGATCAAAATTTCTAAGCAGATGAACAGGAATTGCAATCATAGTGTGCAATTCGCAAAGTACCAGTAAAAGAGTAAAACCAGTAAAAGAGGCAAAAAATTTATTAAGCATACAGCCATAACCCCTGTTGTGATGGTGTGGGGCACTATTTCTTATGACAGCAGGTCATCTTTAGTCATCCTCCGTATACTCAATGATATGTTGATCCTGCAGCCTGTTGTATTACCCTTCATGGCATGGCATCTTAGGGCCATTTTCCAACAAGATAATGGCAGGCCACATACTGCTCCCATATCTCTGGACTGTCTCCTTGCAGTTGATACTCTTCCTTGGCCAGCAAGGTCACCAGACCTTTCACCAATCGAACATGTCTGGGACAGGGTAGGCCGCCAGATTCAGGCACCACAAAATATTGCAAATCTGGAGTGACAACTGATGAATGCCTGGTGTCACAGGATGACATTGGAAACCACTATCCCTCCTTGCCTCGACGAATTCAAGCATGCATTGCCACCAGGGGTGATTTGACCAATTACTAATTTGAACACTCAATGGGTGATTGTGAGCCGTGAACAGGTACATGACCTTGATTTTTTAATCATTTTATTATCTGTGTATGAGCTATATACATATTCAATTTCATGCAAAATAACCACTTCCTTCATGGAGCTCTGATTTTTTTTGCAAAACAGTGTATTAATTAACCTATCAGAGTTTTGAAAAATGTTTTATTTACATATACCTTTCATGCAATAAATTCTGTCTCCTAAATATATTCCCCATTATTGCAATTGTTCAGTATTTCCAAAAGAATGCCCTACCCAAGATAAATATTTTTTGTTTCTACAAAACAAAAAAAAAAATTAGTTTTCAATGAAAATGGAACTTCATTGTACTCCTAAATCAATGTAAATACTTAATTATGCTTAAATATTCAAGAATTTTTAAAATAATGTGCTAGTCCTCCCCTCCCAAATAAAATGGTTTTAGCAAATGAATTCAACATAGTTTCACTATACTCCCATATGTGTGGGACTGGATGTAACTGTTTTCCTAAAATTAAAAAACTTTCATTTTAGACAGCTACATGGTATTTTTTTACAATGTAAATTACATTTCACATTAAAATAGCATTTAGAATGCTTAACCTTTGTAACTAAACATTAAGCCTAATTTTAATATGTTATATAAATACTCCTCTATTAAAGTTTGTGGGAAAAAGTTATGCCACATAAGTGAAATTTGTAATAAGTTGGCTGTAAAGAGTTAGCATACTCTCTATAGGAGAAATGCATGAACTAAATTCATCTGGAGCAATACTGTAGTGCAAATGGAGTTCAGGTAAATGAAGACATGGTTGTAAACCATGCCTTAAACTACCTGAATTCCCTATTGAAATAAATTAGAAAACAAAATTTCCCTCTTGAAGTAAATTAATTTAAGTAAACTGAGAAAACATACAGAGATTTCTCTATAACAAGCACTGACACTACAGAAAAGGATGTGAATACTGAAAGATTACTTATCTTTGGAAAATCTATTTAACATATTGCTAAAAGAGGGATAATTTGAGGGCAACGAAAATAAATTTACAACAGTAATAGACAATAGACATCTAATTTCAAGGTAATAATTGTACTTTTAAGAAACTATAACACTTCTAATCTACCTAGCAAAGATAAAACATTTTCAAAATCAACAAAAAATGTCTTAAAAATATGCAAGGAAGCAGGCAGATATGCAACTTACTTTAGTAAGCGTGAGATCTCTTTGTTGAGAGCTTCTTAATTTTTCCATTTCTCTACGAAATCTCATCTCTTTTACAGGGAAACCACCCAAGCCACTTATCACAGATCCAGGTTCAGCTCCAACATCATCAACAAACACTCGACTAAATAACTCAAGAGCTAACCGCCACCTTCCAAGGAGCATGTCATGTGACAATGTTTGGCCGATGGAGCCACCAGGTCTATAACAATAAAAGTTTTTTTTTTTTCCTTAACAGTTGCCCATAATAAACATCACAAGAACTATGGTGAGATGATGCCAGATTAAAAACAATCAAAGCAAAGAAAGAACTTACCTATTCTGAGAATAACTTTGTCCTGATCCTCCTTCATTACCATAACACACATTTGCATCACGTGAGAAAGTTACACCCATAGCTGAAGTTGCAGTTGATGTTGTACAGCTAGATGTGACAGTTACTTCAGCAGCAGGATCTGGAGTGGCTATAAAACTTGAACTGGAATTAGCTTGCAAATCAGGACTCTGAAAATGAAATCACATTTGAAACCACCGACATTCAGATAAATTGCACTTTTTTATATCTTGCAAACTTGTGTACAAATGTGTTGATTAATTGTTAAATCACATTTAATTACTATATAAGACATAATTTTGATTTGTCAAGTTAAAGATAAGGAGAGAGGTGGGAAATACATAAACAAAATTCAATAAAAGTAATATTAATTTCATATTCCACATACTGACTGATATTTATTTTAACTAACTGGAAATTTTGATTTAATTCCAGTAATTGAAGTTCTTTTGTAAATTACAGTTGTGACAACACTTTCACGATCTGAAAATGTAGCTTTTGACATGTATAGTTAAAGTACATTAACTATGTCAAAAGCATATGTACATGTCAAAAGCTACATTTTCAGATCGTGAAAGTCATCTCTACAACTGACTGTGACCATTCCACTTACTTATAAGCTTAATATAGAGTAAAAATATTTAAATAAATAAAATGACGAGATTTCAAAAACATATGTTTGCTTAAACTACTAAAGCAGTAAATTTTCACAGTACAATAAAAGCTCCACTATTTTGCAATTCTCCCCTCCCCCCAAATGTTGGGCACTTGCCTATAACGGTATTGGCCACTCCTAAGGCCATAAGTGGTGGTCATTTTATTGTGGAGGCACCTAATAGGCAGCCACTGTTCTCTCTTATGAAGGGTCAGACAAATTTACATCCATACCTTCTTTGGGATTCGAACCCGGGCCCTTCGGTATCGCATTCAGGCTCACCTAACTTTATACCGTCTGGGTGGCACTATTTGGCAATTAACTAATGGAAAGATAAGAATATTTTAGAACTCAAAAAAGGAAGGCAAATGAGATTTGTAAAGCTACTTATAAATTCCACAGGGAAAGGATACTTTCGCCAAACAATGTGATTTAATCTAAAATGGATAAGCATGATGAAACAACACATCTGCACTTTAGCTTTATGCAAACTCATTTAGTTCTTGAAAAGACAGTTTAGTTTTTGCAAAAAGAGATACATTAATGTATATTTATTTGCTTTTCCTCACATTTTGAAACAAAATATTAAAATATGGCACCTGCTTTGATTAAAATTTAAAAAAAATAAAATATTATTGTGGGAAATGTTGTCATGATATTCCCTAATCCCCTACTGTGAGACATATGCATTGCGTCAGCATGTGTTTTCCCGCCTTCGGGAGAAGACGAGGACTAGTTGGCGAGCGGAGCAGAGACGTCGCTCGATCGCTCGTATACCATTTTCATTAATTGTAATCCTAATGTAATCTATATTTGTAAATAGTAATAAATGTGTGTTATCAACTATGGTCGTTGCCTTTCCCCACATTTTGGGGGCTCGACCGCCGTGCCTTTTGTGCATGCGTTATAATCGAACCCTAGACACCAGCAATCACTAAAGACGTTCAGAAAGCTAACAAAGGCAAGACGTGCCTTTATGACGATTTAATATATCTTCTTCAAGCCAGACGACGTATGTGAATGAAGACGTGCCTTTATGACGATTTAATATTCTTCAAGCTGGACGACATATGTGAATGATGTTACATGCTACTTGTCCATTCTGATTTTGGACGTTAAATCGAAATTCGATTTTGGATTACATTGGATTGGCCAAGATATATATATTGGATTATAAGGACTGCCCCGAAGTTAGGTAGGTAGGCCCATTTTTTCCCTGAATTCGTTCATAATTTATTAGTATTACGATTTTAAGCTGTGTTTATACTGTTTAATTCTCATTCATACATACCCTATTTCATATTCATATTGTCCTATTTTACTGTTTAAAGAACTATGGCCCTAAAATTAGGTGATATCCCATTGATAGCGAATTCTCTTAAATATGGCACAACACGAGTTATTAAATTATTTAATACCGTGCTCGGATATTCCGATTTTGATCATTCTTCGCGAAAGAGAATGCGAAATTTTGCCGCGTTCCCGGACAGTTTCGATTTGGCAAAACATAAAGAACTTCTATTAAAAGATTTTTCTTTATCAGATTTTATATCAGTGGCGAATTTATTGCATTTGGAAGCTTCCACTAATAAAGATGTTTTATGTGAAAAAATTTTTCATGCGCTCACTAATCTGACGGATTTTCACAATTCCCTAGATGTTAGTTTTTTATCCGATGACGACGATCATTCAATTTCAAACACCACCGACAGTGCACCGACGCCTGTAGGTCTAAGTTCTTCTGTTCCCCCTTCCCCTCCCTCCACGGCGCCAAGCCCAAATCGCGTTGTTTCTTCTGACGCGGAAGTAATAAATTTGAATTCGAGTCGCTCCGGTGTTTATATGACGGCGAACACCGAGATTCGCGAGATGAGTCATGACTTATGGTTTATTTTGAGAGATCTTTCAAACACTTGCAGAAACTTTTCAGGCAATGATTCCTATTCAGTCCGTGCTTTTTTCAACGATATAGAGGATAATTTCCAATTATTCCCAAATCTTACCGACCAGCAAAAATTAGTTTTTGCGAAAACGACTTGTTGTGGGTACTGCTAAAACTTTTTTGTTTTCACAACGGAATCTCAATTCATACGACATGTTTAAAACAGTATTACTTAATGAGTTCTCCGATAAAATTACGTCTATTGACAGTGTTAGCCACAGTTAAAAATAAGCACCTATAAGCAGCACATTTTAAGGAAAAAATAAACCCTTAAATACATTATACACAACTGCACAACCTTAAAGAAAATTAGACTTGTAATTTAAAATATGAGCAATGCAATATTTATTAAGAGAATGAGCATTACCTCAACAATGGAAAACAATTAACTTTTTTTTTTTTTTTAATTTTAAATGAGAGTTCAATTTACAGAATTAGTTTACAATGAGATAAAAAAAAACTAATCAGAACTAAACTATATTACAAAATTTAATGATGATATTTCAGTTGAAAATATAGAAAATAAATAATAATAAGCCATATTAATTGTATTCGTTTGGCACCTAATAATAAACACAATTTATTTTTCCACTCATATTAATATTTAAATAATTTAACTTAAATCAAAATTCTGAACATTTTCTAAATTTTCATTGCATAACAGTTTTTCCTTAACATATATCCCAAGCAAAGTAATTTAAGTAAAAAAGAGGCACATTTCTGAAATCAGAAGATGGGAAATTGCTTCATTCAGTCATCCTTTAAGAGTAAAAGCTTAACTAACCCGCATACTCGGAAATTCCCGAATATTCCAGATAATAACTGGAAAAAGAGGAGTGGGGGAGATTGTAGCCATTCTTTAGATTTAAATTTAGGCTAAATAAATGATTTTGACATTTCGATATGTGCATCATATAAAAATCAACGGAACTGAGAAATATTCTGCTTAGAAAGCACAGTAAAACTCTTTTAAATGTTCATAAACAAATCTCAGATTGAACATCAAAATTAATTATCAATGCAAAATACCACAAACGTTATTACGCAATATGTGCGGCATAATTCTTCCATATGTGATATTACGCAATCGGAATCAACACCTGCCGTTATTAGGAGAAAAAAGAACTAAATAAAGGAAAAGAAAGAGACTTACTAATCTGGAGTGTTTCTGATTCTTATTTTCAACAGACTGTATTAAATTTCCGGAACAGAATCAATCTTCGTTTGGGTTGGGTAGACCGCAAAAACTTTTAGTCCTATTCAATCCAGATTGGACAGTTACAAAAAAAAGTCCGCTGCTTCAATATTAGAGGTTTTGCGGAGAAACTCCCAACCTCCGTACTGTATAATGTATTGGCAAAGAAAATGAAATTATTTTGACTATTCGATTACTTTCCTTTTATTCAAGCCATTCCGAATATTATTCCTTAGAAAGCTAATCTGTGTAAAAACACACCCATTTTTGGAAGTTTATCTATACTTCAGCAGTTAGTGCAACTATATTATTATAAATATTCATACATATGCTCATAATATAAGCATAACGATCATAATAAACACGAATATGAACTGACCACGTGGAACGAGAATGCAAATTATTAAAATCTTGATAGAAATTCAAACGTGTGTAGTATTTGGGTGGGAGGAAAAGAATACCGAATGTACCGGAATTTTCTACGTTTTCGCAATTCTTTGGCCAATAGAACGACGTGCACCTGTCCGTACTCTCGCGTGCACCATAGCACTTTTCATTCCGTTAATGCAGAGGAAGGGGGGAAGCAATTTTCGGGAGTATGATTCACCATCTGACGTTGCATATAAGGAAGAAAAGTTGTTTATTTAGTTTCGGCTTTGGTACGGGGAAAAAATGCGCTTTCATTAAAAACAAAGGATTAAAAAAAAAAGCCCTAAAAGCAAAAAATAAGAACTAAAAACAAAAAAATAAGGGCTTTAAAGAAAAAGTAAGCACCTATAAGGGCCTTTATTTTATTTTCAAATATTTATAAGCACATGTAAGGACCTCTACGAACCCTGATTGAAATTCATAAATAACTCAAAAGAAGAAAAATGCGCTCGAATGAAAGCTTTGCGCAATATTTTATAGCAATGCGTGAAATTGCGAATTGTGGTGGCGGTATTATCGACGAGGCTTCTGCCATTCAGTATACCATTCAAGGAATACTAGGTACCTCATCCGATAAAATTATTCTCTACGATGCAAAATCATATTCTGAATTCAAGGAAAAGCTACGCACTTATGAAACTGTAGTTACGACTAGATATACAAATATCTCTCATCCATCAAATTTTAAAAATACGTATAATGGCTCCAGACGTGGTACTGGACGAAAAAATTCAGTCCAACAACACAACACGAAATTTAATAATACTGGTCCATCTAAAACTAAACCACAAACTCGTTTTAACTGCAATGAGGTCAGACACCTCTCACGGTCCTGTCGTAATAGTTCTCTTGGCCCAAAGTATCTAACTTGTGGTCGTTTTGGACACAAATTTATGGATTGCCGACCAAATGAGACTTCCACTCTACCTGCCGAAGTATATACAGTACA